GACATCGCTGTTGGCATGACCGTTGCTTCCCATTTTTCAAACCGCAAGCCTAGAACAGCGATGTCCAGGCCTAGGACAGCGCTGTCTAGGTGATTTTCAACAGATCCAAATTTCATCAAATCCCACAAATTATGCCAATCACCCCTTAAATACTTTGGTCCGTTGGAGCCTATTTTTCTACTATAAAATGAGGTGTTTGGGTCTGTTTTACACATAACATTACTTCACAACTCCTACTCTTTCATTGCAAATCATTCTTTAATTATTCATAGCTTTTGAGAGCCATTTTTGTGAAGCTTGTATTGTGTTCTTGAGCGTTCTTAGTTTACTCATATCCACTCTTAAGGAGAGTCTTGTTCTTGAGTGTCTTAGTGTTGTATACACGTTAAGGGAAGCTTGTTTCCCTTGGTTGTACGAAGGAAAGGTATTTTCCTTCGGGTTGAAGTCTTGGAGTGCGGTATCTCCGAGCAAGTGTTTTTGAGGCTCGTGGGACTCGAGTTCTCAGGTTGTAACGGTTTGTTAAGCACCCGTAAGCTTAGCGGAAGTAGTGTAGCTCGAGAGAGTCTCTCGGGAGACTGGATTAGCCACACGTTGTGGTGAACCAGTATAAATCTTGGTGTGCTCCCTTTACGCTTTCTACGCTCTTTACGTTTCACGCTCTTAATTTTTTATTCCTGCGATTTCTACGATCAAACGCTATTCACCCCCCCCCCCCTCTAGCGATGGTCACTTATTCTAACAGTTCAGACCCGAATCCGATTAAACCCGAAACGATTAAACCCGAACCCGGTTAAACTCGAATCTGGTTAAACCCGGAACCGATTAGACCCGAACCCGATTAGATCCGAAATGGATCAAACTCATTAATATTTCATTTATCAAATGAATTTGGAGAAAACGAATTACCTATATATTTTTACATATGTTGATGTGTTTCTAAACAAACATATTTAAATTATGGGTGCAAACCATGTAACTACTTTCATGTACAAATCTTTTACTTTGCAGTTTATAACTTAAGTTAAAATACTTTTGTATTTTTATAGAAAGTATATAAAAATTATAGTTAACTAAATTAACTAAATTTATTATGTGATTTATTCATTTATTAGTATGCATGTGTTTACATTATACTTGAACTAATATAAATTTAAACCGATATAAACTCAAATCTATATAAACCCAAATCAATACAACCCGAATTGATACAAACCTGAATCGATATAACCCGAACCGATACAAACCCGAACCGATATAAACCCGAACAGATATAAACCCGAACCGATACAAACCCGAACCAATACAAACCCGAACCGAAACCGAAAACCAATCAAACCGAAATAAACCCGGAACCGAATTGACCCGAACCGAACCAACCCGAACCGATTATAACATATATCCGAAAGAGACCCGAACCGAAAAGACCCGAACTGGAACCGAATCGATTGACCCGATTGCCAGGTCTAATATTAATGATGGATTTATACACCCAAGAATTGTAGCAACTTATATCCCTCTTCACCAGGATTATCAGTGTATAAAACATTGAGGGTCTGGTACTGTGAGCAGTTATTAACTTTCCAATGTGAGAGTAGACATTTTTTCTTTCAAATATGCTCAAGAACTTCATTTCAAAACTTTAAAAATTTCTCATACGCCCAAACCTGAGAACAAAAATGCTTGCACAATAAAAATTAATATTATACATCACGATAAACCTTGTTTTTCTTAAGATATTTGAAATAACCAAACTTACTTGCAAGACAAACAGAAACCCATGATCCCTGAAAGCTTCACCAAATCAGTACCCAGTACCGCATTAACATATTGTTCACACAAACAAGAGAAAGTGCATTTCACCATGCTCCTTCCTCCAAGATATTTATTATAAATCCTCTCCGAAGTAGCATTCATCTTGGCAAAATCTTGATTTCACAAAAGTCTTCAAAGTTGAATTTTTGAACAGTCCTATTTAGGGGTGGGCACGAAAACCGTTCCCGTTGACCCGTTCCGAAATATACCGGAACCGTTTTGAAATTGTACCTTTTTTTTGGATTTAAATTTTTTTATCCCGAACCCGTTCTGTCCCGATTTTAAGTGGGACATTACCGGGATAACTTAAAAGTATACCGTTTCATCCCGTTTGTCCCGTTTTATATACTCTTCTAAAAACATTATTGCCTCTTACCACTTTGAATTATCTCATCTTTGCAATTTTGTATAGTACCCATGGGCATACCGCATATAATCTTATAGCTATAGGCCAAGCATACATTTGGTATTTGTTTGCAATGGGAAGTATTACCTTCAGTGAAGGAAAAAAATTATCTTTGCACAGGTGGGATTTGTTTAAAATCAAGGAATCCTATGTGTCGAGTAACTTATTGTACTTACTTGTTGACATTCTTGTAGCATTTATTTTCAATCTTTTTGTTTTCAATTTTCATTATTGTCCAAAAATTAGGAAAAAGCAGGACAATCCGAAACCGTTCTGTTTTATCCCGGTCCCGAAAATTATGGGATAAAGTGGGATAGGCTTGTGATTCGAACCGTTCCGAACCGTTTGAATATAACGGGACAGGTCGTGGGATTGTAAGAAACCCGAACCGTCCCGACCCGTGCTCACCCCTAGTCCTATTGATAATAAACCACAACGGCACAACTTATCTTCCGCTTGTTCTCGATGGTGTAGTGGAATCATATACATGACTTGTCTTGAAAATTGCACATTCATCGATATACACGTTCGAGCCTGATAAAGATGTCATGAATTGATAAAGAGGTTTATCGATTGATGACGAGCTTTATCGATTGATGTCCGGCCTTCGAATTCGGTTACCGATGAGTAAATCGAAAACAATAATCTAGGGTTTAAAGAGGTTAAAAATATAGAAGATGATGTTAAGGAAAGACATATTGCAAAACTCACGTGTAATATATGACTTTAGATAAATCCATATTTGCATTCGATGAGAATGTGATTAACGCACTCTCAAATATGGTGTAGCGGGACCATTCGTGCAACATTTTAAAAGTTCAGGGGGCATCAGTGCAATATTTAAAAATCAGGGAGAATTCGTGCAATTTTTGAAAAGTTTAGAGGTAAATGGTGCAAAAAACTCTAAATAATTATTGATGCTAAAACCATTATAAACTTGTGAAAAAATCTAGTTTTTGTATATTCAAAGTTTTTTTTATGAAATCGACATAATTTAGGGACTTTAAATTATCAGATAGAATCTTTTAAAATCCTTGTGAAAAAAATATATTAAAAGTTATCTAACTCTACGTAGAATTAAAATAATCCACAGAATTTATATAATCCATGGTATCTAAAGAATCTATAAAAAATTTAAAATCTAAACTAAATACATCCTCTTTAATACATAATTTTATTTATATTTAAAATTTTAAAAAATAAATTAGTATTTATAATCTATATCTAGAAACGAAGCATATATTTTTTCACACCTGTTTTTAAAACCTATTCTCCAAAAATGAATTTTTACTCTCTAAAAAATTCAAACAAATTCTTTTCAATTCCCGTAAAGGTTTGAAAAAAAAATAAAAATAAATAGATGGAATGTTATCCGGTTAATAATATTTTTACACTTTATATTATTTTAGAATTACAAAGCATTAAAACTATAATTTATAATAAAATTTATAACTATTCTAATTATATAATAATTTATAACTATTAAAATTTATATTTATAATTTAATAATTTTAAAACTATTTTAAAAGTAATATAATTATTAGCTTAAGTTAATTATTTAAAAAATGTCTGCGGTAAGTTGGCGAATTAACATATGTACACCGCCACATACAATATCAAAGTATGAAACCAGTGAGATCTGATCTGGTATCGATGTGGATGAGAAAGATGATGGACTAAAAATTTATGGAGGTAGGCAATTTACTTGTGTATATTGAGAATAGACTCCGACAGAACGATTCATATATTCAACATGTTGTGTGTGATATTATTACTACTTGGTTACGTATTACGGAGTATTTTTTAAGAAAACCATTACTCCGTATTAATTAATGTGTGAAGAACAACAATAAAATATGTTTATTTGATTAAATACACGTATAATTCTCTCTTTCTCTTTAGAACATCTTTAGTGAGAGTTTCTTAGAAGTTTTTAATTGAAATATGATTATTTCCCTTCACTAATCAACTCTTTTAGCTAGTGAGAGTTTCTTAGAAGCTTTTAACTGAAATATGATTATTCCACTAATCAACTCTTTTGGTGAGAGTTTTTCAGAAGTTTTTAACTGAAGCATGATTATTTCACTAAACAACTCTTTTTGAAAAATGAAACAGCCGCTGCTCCACATGTGTGCTCTACAAAATCTTCACATCACATTTTATAGGTTGAAGGAAGCACAAGGCAAGTAGTGTTTTACGTTTGCAAGATGCATGTTTCTCATGGTCCTTGATCACCTTGGATATGGCATTGAAGACATTTCAAATGTGGCATTTGAGCTAAACTCTCCTGAAGTGGCTGTCCCCATAGGTGAATATTTACAAGTGGAGTCAAACCTAGGCTCCAATGATGAAGAAGGAGATGGTGTTGCCCCTTCCAAAACCTTGACAACTGTGGACATGGATGGCCTCCTCGTTGGCTCGCTCTGGAGGCACCAAATCGCGAGCTTGATTGTCTTCCCCACCTCCTCCTCGTTGCCCGTGATCTCCTCGTCGTTGCCAAACCATTCGTGGACCCCACCGAACAAGCGTTCCCCCTCCTCCTCCATCTTCTCCGCGACGATCTCTACAAGGGTCGGATTTTCTTGGCACTGAGCGTCGAAATTCCTCCTCTGGAACACGACCTCTAGCACGACGATCCCGTAGCTGTAAACGTCTACCTTCTCGGTTATCTTCTTGCTCAGCCACTCGGGGGCAAGGTACCCGCGGGTTCCCCTCATTTGCGTGGCCGCAAAGCTCTCCTCTCTCTCCATCAGCTTCGCCAGGCCAAAATCCGCCAACTTGGCATTGAACTCGCGGTCCAAGAGGATGTTCTGAGGCTTGATGTCGAGGTGAATGATCTTGCTCTGGCAATCCTCGTGCAAGTACGAGAGGCCCTTCGCAATGTGGAGGATTATCTTCTTTCGAATGCCCCATGGTAGCGAATGATTCTGGTTTTTGTCCCGGAATATCCACTTGTCGAGCGAGTTGTTGACCATGTGCTCGTAAACCAGAAGCCTGTGGGGTTCTCTCTCCGCGCAAAACCCGACCAGTTTCACCAAGTTGAAGTGGTGGGTGTTCCCGGTTGTCTTAACCTCCGTTAGGAATTCCTTCTTCCTCGCTTGCTTGATGTAATTTAAACGCTTGATCGCCACCCTCGTCTCACAAAAGGCAATGAAGAAGGCATATTCAAAAATACTAGTAAGAATTAAGCTAGGGGTGTACTAACATGGGGTATCTCATTTATAGACCAAACTAACATAGACTCAAACACATACAAAATGTATGTGCCACAGAGACCATTATGTGTCTGTGTTAGTTTGGTGACTATATATCTAAAAACGTGCAAATTAATCAATATACTCAAAACGATGGAATGAATTGAACTGTGAAATCAAGAAAAGGTGGGGAAGCAAATTACCCCATTGTCATCGTTTAGGGTTCCTTCGAAAACGCACCCAAAACTGCCGGCTCCGAGCATTTTTCCTCTGTCGAAATTGTTGGTTGCCGCCTTCAATTCGTTGTAAGTAAATCTCTTGGGTAAGTCGGAGAGAAGCTCCGATGAGTTCTCCCACTCCTCGTCGGCCAACAGTTCCTTCCATTGCCGCCGCCTCTTCTTGATGTAAAACACGGTTAGAGCCACCATAGCCGCCGCCGCAATCGGAGCAGCAATCAAGGCCGTCTTTCTCCGATCCGAACCATCCCCTGTCAGATCCACCTTGCGGTTGGTCGGTGCCCACGTGACGTTCATTTCCCCGTGCATCGGCGAACCCTCCGGCACGCCCAAGGCGGCCCACACGGCTTTCGAGGCGGAGAGCGCGTTATGCGGACACGGCGGTTGGTAGGAGTTTTGCGCGTCGCAGCCGCTGTACGAATTGCACTCGTCCACCACCGCCGCCAGGACGGAGCGGCCGTTGCCGGAGATGTTTATCAGGCGACCGCACCGGGACCCGAAGTCATACCACCCGGTGGACAGAGCCACCACGAGGGTGGCGTCGGAATGATACTTGCCGTCGCACTCGCCGGTGCTCCCGCCGTCTTGGCCTTCCTCGAAGCCGCTGAGGTTGAGAACCCCCTCGGTCCGGTTGGTCACCGGCGGGGAGCACCAGTAGGCGGTGTAATTCCGGCCCGGCGCGCAGCACTCTGAGTCGTTATCCTGGTTGCACTGGCCGGGTGGAGGCTTCCGGCCGGTGATCTGGAACGCCGGCCTGCACTCTTGGGCTTTTGGAGTATGAGAAGTTAAGAAGAAGAAGATGAAGATGAACAAGATCATGACTGTAACATGTTTGGGACAATCAAGTGCTGAGATCATTGCTGATTAATAATCCCAATCTTCTTCTATGAATTGATGGTTTTATGGGGCAGATGTTTTTTTATTTGATCATGACCAAAAATGTTTTTTTATGCCTTTGATTATTTGTTTATTTTTAATTTTTTAAATTTAAATTGGTAAAATTTGAATTTTAATTAAATAAAAATGATTCTAAATATTGATACAAAAATAGTTTCATTTTATTTGTAATATAAAATATTTTTAAAATATTATTTTAAATAATTAATTTACAATATACGGAGTATATCTTATTTGAATATAGCTCAAATGTTAAAAATATTTGACTCAAAAAATCAAAATTTAAAAAATACGTAGTAGTCAATGAGAACATCTATTTGTACAATATGAGTCTTCATTACACAATTCTAAATTCTTACTCCCTCCGTCTTCCAGTTTTTGTCCACTTTGGACTTTTGGAACTGTTTATCTAAGTACTTTGACTCATCAAATTCTCTCAATGTGTAAGCCTAAATATAGTCATGTGTGATCTTGTTTGATTTGTCTTAACATATAGATTATTAATATATAATTTCTATAATTTTTTAATATACAAATTACAAGATAAAATGGATTAAAGAAGTGCATTGGATGGTGTGTAAAAATGAAAGTGGACAAATATTCTGGGACGGAGGGAGTAATTCACTTCCCTTTCTTCTCATCCCCATCCTAGCATTTTTATTTTTAGAATACACTAGTCACTAGACTCACTACCTCTAGGATTATTTTTGTTTCTTTTAAGAATGAATTACCAAAATGATCTTTTCTAATAAGATATTTTTTTATATTAGTCCTCAATAAACAATAATTACCTGCTCAATCTTTTATAATTTAGATGTACTAGTATCACACCCCGTGCGTTAGGGGTATAAACGAACCGAAGCGAATACCGATATATTTGAATTTATATTTGTTTAATTTTTTTGAATCCGAATCCGAATCCGAATATGAGACGAATTCAAAATAAGATTTGAATAAGTATTTGATTAATATTCGAATAGTTATCGAATCATAAACGAATATTTGAATAATCATACTATGTAATTTATATGATGGATCAACATCATTTTGTAATTTAACTTACGATACTCTTTATACTATAGTATATTCCGTATATAAAAACATTAATACATCTGCATCTTACACAAATTATATTTTATAAAATATAACTATTAAAAATCATATGCTTTAGATTTTCGTGTTACGTTAATTTATTGAATTCTTAGTATTTTAAATACACTTTATACTATATTACTTTGCTTGACTTTTGATGTTGAAAACATGGTCTGTGTATATATACATATATTCAAATATTCGAATATCATCCGAATCGAATATATCCTTATTTGTATTTGTATTTGATAAATATTCGAACCAAAAATAATATTTGAATTTGAATTTGTATTTGAATAACGCGAATTCGAATCATCATATTCGAATACAAATCGCGAATCGAATTTAAAATATTTGATTTGTTTACATTCCTACCGTGCGTTGCACGGTTCGTATTAACGTTATAAATTTATATTGGTATTATTAAAAAAGTAAATAAGTACACCATATAATGAAATATAATGTTTTTCAATTGTGTAATACATAAATTATCTCCACCACATCTTCCTATTCTGAAAAGAAGGGGAAACATGTACCCATTGTTTTCCCGTCCAAGTGACTTCTTAAATACGGTTTGAGATATTAAAATGGCGAGTGTTTTAAAAAAAGAATTAAAGAGAATGAATGATTGAATTTTGATATTATTATTTTTATTAAAAATCAAAGGAGGTTAGATTTATTTTTCTTGAAACGCCCATTTCATAACCTTTTAAAGCATAGAAATAAAAAGAGGAAAGATTTAAAAAGGAGGAATGCTTGAATTTTATTAATAACTTTAATGCGTAGGCAATTAACATGGTGCAAATAAAATACATAAGATTAAAATTTTAAAACTTTCATTATTAAGCACAAAAATACTCACGGTTTTAGAATTCTTGCAATATTTTTTTATTTTCTGCCACACTAAAAAAAATTAGTTACGCCTATAATAAAGAAAAAAAGTTTCAAGAAGTCATTTTTTTAACATCACCCAATACTCGACATTAGACCTGGCAAAAAATGACTCGACCTGTTTTTGACCCAAGATGCGACTTGAAAATACTGGGTTTTGAACAAAGGTTTTACTGACCGAACCCGAAGTTGACTGAACCAGAAATAACCCGCTAAAAATGGGTCAAACCTGACCGACCCGCTAATCTAAGATTTTTTTAGAATCATACATTTTAATATGAAATATAGTGTTATAAAAATAAGATTATAATTATATTTCTTTGCTTACTACTCATTTTTTGTATATAGATTTATACCATCATAACAAATTTTAATGATGTCGCATAATTATCTTACATTTTTTCAAAAATTCTACATATTTAATTTTTTTATTCGTAATATATATTTACACTAAGTCATAGAAATTATTTAAAATTTCAAAAAAATTAATGAAACTCATAACCCATTGGGTCAACATGAACCCGATGACACTGGGTCATGAACATGTAGTTATCAACCTGAACCCGAACTTATCCGAACCCGAAGTAACCCGAACCCAAGGTAACCAAACCCGAATCCGACCTGACCGACCGGTTTGCCAGGTCTACTGGACATGTCAGACAAATAAAAAAAGATTCGAGAAGGGGCCTTTTCGTTTAACATGCTAATAACTTCCAAAATTCTATGATTTCTTTTTTTGGTAATTCTTTCTTTTCTTAATATGTCAAATATGTTTTTTCATGCATAAAAAATCTCCTTCAATTTTCGGGCATTAAGTATGTATGGATTCTATAAAGTTAATTTCCTTTTTTAAATAGTTAAAACTGTATCATTTATATACACAATGCTTTCCTGTCATAAAACCACACTATTTATATACACTACATTAAATTACACATGAATCTTATAAGGTATTTTCTATTTATAGAATGAAATAAAGCCATATTTGTATGTTGCTTAATTATAATTACCGTAGATTAAAAATGTAGATCAAAATTGATGGTCCATAAACGATAGCGTTTGGGCGGGAAAAAACATGGGGCATAATTCTCCTGCTTTTAAGAATAGGATGATTTCCTAAGTGCTTTTTTGTCGAAAATATATATTAATTGTTAGTAAAATAGATGACATTTTGGTATTCTTTATCATCTACACTTAAAATATATTCTTGAAATGCTCCTTCATAATGAGGTATTTTTCCAAATTGATAATTTTTAAGTAAACGATTTCTCAAAATGGAGTTCATGAGCCTACTCGGGGTGGATTTCTTCCTCTATCAGTCACCCACTTAATTCGAAAGGAAAATTTTAAGGACTTATTCATAGTTTAGATTATGAAAATGACAAAATATCATCCATTTAACTGTCATTTATTAGACATTTTTGAAAGTGGACAATTTAGAAAATATATACTCCGTATCAATTACTTCAAAGAACCATGTTGGTAATTATTGCTTATTGAGAACTTAATTATTTAAGAAAACACCTTATTAGAAAAGATCGTTTTGAGAATTCACTCTTCTTTTTATTACTTCGCATTTTTGTTTTTTTACTCCATTTGTCTTAAAAAGATTGGCACACTTCAGTATTTAAAATCACTAGAATTTTATTTGTTTTCGCGTTTTCATTAATTATTTGATAAAATAAAATATTCTTGTTACCTTTTGGTTTATAGAACTTTTGACGTAATTTTTAAATATGAAAGTTTTGTTTTTTATTTTTATACTCCGTACTAATTTTTAAATAAAATGAATTGAAAATGCTCAAAATTTTGTTTCGTAATGTTACAATCTTTGTGGGACAAAG